TAGTGGGATTGACCGTCACATTATAACGCCCCCGCGGCTGAAAGGGGATTCGAAACCGCGACCCTCAGATTGCGAGTCGAGCGCCTTATCCACCTGGCCCGCATGAACTGAGAGGTGAGTGATATATTTCATAACAGGTGTTTTTTCCTTATCATATGCAAATTTCAATTACCTTTTGTATAGACCAATGCATGTATATATATATCACATTAGATGTATCATTTTTCAAAGAATAATCATGAAGGTCTTGACTTATAAGAGATCTTTCAACCTTTAGTATGAAATAATATATCAAAGTTATGCCACAGACGGAATACACTCTTGTGCATTGATGCTAGGTAATAAAATAGAGGTGGACAACACTTATAATAAGTAAATATAAAACAGACATGAAAATTGTTCGTGGACAAATTATCTGAAAGGTGCATAAGCAATTTGTTGGGGTTAGTTGATATTCATAACATTAAACATCATATTCATGGAATATTATTCATATATATACAATCTATATTATTAGTTCTTTTTCTGAATTTGTTTTTTTTAATTCGTGTAAAAACAATGTAATTAATCATAATTACAGATGACACATTGACCAATAATTTGACTTTGCACGTTTCTTTTTTACTGATAAATTAGTCAATGTAACAAACCTGGCGAAAATCAAAGAATTCATGGAAAATTCTGAAGCAATAAGAATTTAAACCTTAAACTAGAAATGTGTTTTGATCTGTTACCTTGATTTTCTCTGAAAACATTCTGTAGCTTCAGCGATTAAAGATTAGGAGACATTACTTTAACACTTGGATAAACTGGATAACTACCTTCCTTTCCTACGAAATAAACTGCATAAAACGCTGTGATTTAGATATGAAACTGATTATGAAATGACCAGGATCCACGCTACCCAGAATGGCAATTCTTCAAAGACTAGCAGAAGTCCGTCGCACAAATTCCTTGTAAGTAATTTTTGTTATATCTAATTAGTCTAACGACGTATTAGTAAATGATGTAAATTATGTTTGAGGAAAGAATAGTATTAAAAGATAACTCTGTCGCATATTTAACAAGGCTAATAGAGCTGTTAAAAGACGTATTGGAAAAACTGTTAACTGAATTGGCTAAACATAATTATGTCTGAATGTACAACTCATGTTAATCTAATTGATAATTTGTTTATTGTAATGCCTGTGTTAATGAATTTTGTAGAAGGTTTGATCAATGAACAGTTAATCACCCAGAATGAATAATTAAATTAGTTTGACGTCGAATTATTTCACGATAGTTGGAAATGTTGACATGGATGAATATTTTAAATCAAACTTTCGTTCATATTTCAAAAACCAGTCTCTGCGTGAATTCTTTATTCTGAACGTAAATTTCCTTGGGTTGGTGGCTTATGTGCTTAAGTCACGAATGTATAACCTGGTAATAAATAAATATATTTCTAACTTGTGTTAAGTCGACCCAATGACTACAACTACTGCCCATCTGTTACAGTTATGAATAAGAACCCATGGAATGTAATCACAAATTACGATTGAAATGCTTCAGATAAAATATAAAATAAAGATAAAGATTATAGGTAGAAATATAAAATGAAAAGCAGAGCTTTACTTTAGGTTTCAAACAATAACATACTCTCACAAAAATGCATTTGTGTTTTGATCTACTAACATACTTGACAATTCATTTATTGTTGTATAACAAATTTATTACACAGAAAGTAAAACCTTATACATATCGCACTACAATTAATATAGTATAGGAAATTAAAATAAAAAAGAATATACATAAAGTGTTCTTGTTTGATTCCCACCTTTTTTCCTAAAAAAAATGAACCTACTGAATTCAAATGTTTAATAGCTTTAAACCCTCTTTAATATTAACTACATCATACTTGAAACAACTTGTGAAACATTTCACTTGTTTGTGAATAAGGGTGCCAACATGTGAAGAGTAACTTTTTATAATAATTGCTAATTTGTTTCCACATAATAAGATCCATAATTATTTGAGAAAAAGATTTATTCAACCAAAGTTCTTTAAATGTACTTTCAGAAACTACAGGTCTGAATGCTGCTTAAATAGGAATTGAAAAGATAGTGTAATACAAAACATTAATTTCCTCTTAGCCCAACATGTTGAATAAAACATGTTTAACATCTGATCAATACTCTCACAAAAAGCATAGCAAGTTAGGAGACCATATTTTGTGTTCTTTTAACCAAAATATTCTTGGTGTTATGCAAGGCATAATGAAGAAATTTATAATTGCTTAAGTGCCCAACATTTTGTTTACATCTAAGCTATGTGTATTACATTATGTAATAAAATGACTAGTAGTAGTAGTGGCAGTGGTGATTAACTGTTGAGAGAATTAAGACATTTCTTCAATGAGATCCTTTATTACAGGCTTTCTCTTTGGTACATGGGAATAAAAGACCACCCTCATCTACAGGTACAAACTGAAGTTGTGGTTTTAATTCTGTTTTTCCAGGAACGAATTATTATGAACAACATTCATACTTGTAATTCTACAAATGAATAATGAAACATAAAACCAAAGACATATGGAAATCAGAAAAAAAATGAAAATAAGGAATGTGCCACTTTAATCCTTAAAAGATAGTATGGGAATGCCTTAGATGAAACTGGCAATTCAACTGATTTCTGCAAATCCCCAATCAAATGTTTATAAGGAACACTTATGGCCTATAACATTAACAAATGTCCAGTGAAAAGATGATTCTCAGAAAAAATAGTTTTCTTTTTCTAAACTAGCATCTATCAAATAACAAAAAAGACAGACATTACAGAAGAATAATAAATCCACTACATAACATAAGAGTTTTTACATTTCAAATTATAAATACCATTTTTTGGAAAATAATATATTTAAATTAGCTTAACCTTATAAAAATTAAAAATCTTTACACAAGGGTATACTAGCCCATCAAAATCATTGGTCAAGGATTCTGACTAAAAGAAAGGATAGAAAAATAGAGCCAGTCTCTGGGTAGACTTTTGCATTGTTGTTTTTTTACAAGAATCTTCCAACACTAGGATAAAAACTTAAAAAAAGTAAAGTAAATTACTAAAACATATTCCAGCCACATTAGTTGCTGTATGATACTACTAGTACTATTACTACTATTGAACCCGTACTTTTTTACTAGCGGGTTCTTCAGGTACTTCTATTTCATTGTTCTTGATCTTTTCTTCAGTACCTTCACTTAACAAAGAGCTGTCAAGGTTTGAATCTTCCGACTTCACTAGACCAGTACCAACTGTATGAGATGATGACACCTTTAAATCATGACTATAATCTCCTAACTCTTTAGAATTATCATCCCGTTCTTTTTCTGTGACAGCATCAGTTGATGTTTCATCATCTGGTTGTTTATTGTGCTCAAGACTGTTGGATTTACCATTTGGAGCAATGGGATCCTTTTCTAAATCTGCTTTTGGCATTCCTTCTAAAAGAGAAGGTTTCATTTCCCGAGCCAGATAGTGAGTCCATAGAGTAAGCTCCACCTTGTGGGGAGTCCATTTTCCTTCTGGATCTAAGAAGTTAGATTGTGAAAATGAAAGTTTAATATTTCATTATATATATATATATATATATATTTATTTATTTATTTATTGCACACATGGTCAAAATATCATTTTTCAATATGATAACCAAACTAGTCTAAAATTGAATACATTTTTGGAGAAAAGCTATAAAATAACTTACAATGAAAAAAAAAAAAGATAATAAGTATTTGTAGGAGTTTTAAACCAAATGAATAATTTTTAGGTAATAGTTAGGTTTGTCTTGAAATTATGCATGGAGCATCATACAGTTGTAGGGAATGGTAGAAAAGTTCTAAAAAATGTTTGTTGAATGACTATTTCAAAGTAAAGTTTCTTGTAACAAATGTGCAACATTTAAAGATATCTAAGTATCTTGAGGAAAGTTATATGGTTTAATAATTACACCATGAGTCAATTCATTTTGGTTTAAATGTTGATGAATAAATTGCTTCTATTAGCTGATTAATTATGGTTTACATGATGATGTACAAACAAATTTATATAGATATAGTTTTTTTTATTTTGAAAAATGGTGTTTCTTCAATTATTTGCAGTTAACAAGCTGATAAACAAATGTGTGTGTTTCTATGTTTGTCAAATTATTATGGTCTACGTCTTGTTAAGCAGGCACATCCTTTGAAGTAAATATGTTTTCGATACTGATGGCTAAATTCCTGTTTTTCAGTTAGTCATTTAATAATAAGGCAACTGGACACTATATTAACCCCTCCCCCCAAATCCATATAGGCATTTATTAAGACAACCAAATATTCCTTTTATTTACATAAGCATATTGTGTCAGGCGACTCCTTTAGCTCTATAAATGATGAAATGTAGTTTAATCATGGTTAATTTGTATGACAATGTGAAAAACCAAGAATATCCTTGACTTTCAAAGAGGCATGATAGTGTGTGCCCTCTTAACACAAGCCATTATCAATGACTTTTTCTCTGACAACCATCCAAGGCAACTGTAATCAAATTTTCAAATGTGAAAATCATGCTAAAATATGGCTACTACTACTACCAGGAAAAAGTTTGGCCACAACCACTAATAATTAGCAATTGGATTTCTTCATATTGTTTCTTTGCTGTCAGTATAGAATGAAGTGAAACATGACTCATCAGAACACATCACGTGTTTTGGGTTTGTTAATTGTTCACATTTCTCCTTTAAACACTACTGAAGTTATGTTTTCTTGTTTGATTCTCTGTTAATTAATTTTTGGGAGTAACATGAAACATTTTACCTTGCTTGAGCATTTATGACAGTGAAAGCTACTAAAATGACATAATAGTGCAGGGAAAATTCGTATGGCAAGGGTTATGTCACTTGATTTTTTTATAACAGCAAATAACACTCAGGATATACCTAAACATTATTACCAATCATATTTATCCCACAATGCTATATTCCTGCCCTGATGAACAAAAACTTTTTTTTACAAGGCAACAAATAATTATTCAGTGTCTCAATTGTCTGAAATTGGTTCCAAATGAAAGGGACTTCAGTCAACTCTCTTGTTCAACACAATACCAAAATAAACTGATCATTCTTGAGCTGAAATTGAATGTCACATCCACCAACATAATCCTCTGCCAAAATTTATGAATAATTGCTATCCAGACTTCTTCACAAACTTACTACAATAAAAACAAATTGATATCTTGTGAGGTCTAAATTTTGCCAAATACAAGATAACATTACAGCATAAGATGTATATGCGTGAAGGGTCTAAAAAAAAAGTGACCACTTAGTGAAGGATAAATGTGTTTTTTTGTGTTTTAGAGCAAAGCTACACAATGGGTTATCTATGCTCTGTCCACCCCTAGGAATTGAACCTCATAGTGTTGTATTCCCATACACTTATTGCTGACACACTGAGGAGCCTATGAATGATAAAACTTTGGTATATTAATAATCATATGTATATACTAATCCCCCATTAATCTTGTCTCAGTTGTCACTTTGAAATATAAAGTGCTATATGTTGTCCACAAACCATGACTAAACCTCAAATTAGACATCTGGATGTTTCACTCATGTGGACAGCATTGAGATAAATAAAAGCTGCTGATCATAGCAGGCTGTTGCAAGTTGCTTATAAATGACTCAAAGTTGTGTTAAAAGGATATGGGATAATTTCAAATTAAGAGTTCTTAAAAACCTTGACAAACAAACAACCATTATCTGTCAATTCCATCTTCTCATAATCATACAGTAGATATTCTGAGACTGAATTATATGTTTGATCAAGAGAAAAAATCAAAATAATACAAGAAGCTCTAACTGAAATTCATTTTCAAAGTTGTATCTTTTTTTATCAAAATCAAGAAAATGAAGGTAAGAAAGATGACAATTCAAATGTTAATGAAAATTTAAAATAATAAGTACAGAAATTCCATAATTCTTAAAGAAAAAAGAACAGAACTGATCACTACAGTGCTGAGGAAAAGAATGAGCTTTTGGTATACGCAAAGTGTTCCAGGTGAGTAATATGCATGGAGGATGTGTCACCCTCCTGTTGGTGGATGGCTATAGTCTAATGCTGATTGCATCATAGACTTTCATAGTACACATTATTACATGTAAGGTTGAAAGTTTTGTTCAAAAACTTGGTACAAAAATTTGTTAGTAGTGGTGTGGGTTATTATCTATCTATTCCGTAGAGAGGTAAGTAGCATTTCTGAATCATATAAAAACACACTATTCTCATATCTAAAAATACTGCTATTATTTAAGATTTGGACCAAATAAGTTGAAAATATACTTCAGTATTAAAGTTACTGTGACTTTTTTTAGGATGGATTCCATGCTATGTTTCCACATACTTAAATACCAGATGATGTAGTTTATACTTACTCTTCTTATTCAGTCTTTCAGAACAGTTCTTGATCTGTTCATGATAGTTTAAATACTCTGCCAAAGTGTAGTCAGTAGCCTCAACTCCTGGTGTGGAAAGCATACTTTCATCAGCCATGAATGCAACTTGTTCTGGGTAACCGGCTGATAAAATGGCTAAACAATGTGGGATAGAAAAAAAAACTTTAGCAGAACAATGACAACACAAGATTCACTCTAAAATTACTATCTAAAAATCATATTCCAAGTCCATTTTTTAGATTGAAAATACTATTACAAAGACAACAAGCTTTTAAGATATTTTTATGATTGTCTTCTGTATAACTTTTATATTAGTTAACTTTAAGCAATCATTTCAAATAAAGAAAGTAAAGAGAATTTGGTATCGCTGTCTCCTTTGCGAATGCTTAAATGGATGTTTTCACCTAAATGAAATACTTGTGATATTTAAGTTGATGACACCTGTGGATGATACAAAATAAACTAAGCATATTCAACACACTCAACTTCTTTGCATAGCCTCATGAAATTGTGATTTAAGCTATTAAAAACCCTTTAAAAGCTTTTCATTTACACAGCAAAGAGAAATCATTAAGAAAACACCTTTTACAGGTAGAGGACAAAAAGTCTTATGCAAAATATCAATTAAAGTCATAACCTCTGCTATGTAAGTTCAGTTCAAAATAATTTTTCTTTGGTTTGTTTCACAAGAAAAAGGCAAATTCAAACCTCTCAAGTCTCTTATTGGAATATTTTCAAAACAAATATGCCTTAAGAAAACATAAACTGTACATCTAAAACAATTAAATGCATTTAAAGGTCGATAATTCTTGAGAGTATTAAAGTAAAAATCTTGAAAACATTTCAAATATTTTTAGATATTTTACAGTTATTAGATGAAAATGATACTGAAACATAGCTACAAGTGTACAATTTAACTGTTTTTTAAATAACCAAAACATTGTTACTTTATGAGAAAAAAAATATGTTTTACCACAAAGATGAATAGCACTGTATTACCTGAAGCAGTGGCTGGACCAACTCCTTTTAATGTTGTGAGAGCTGTGATAGCATCAGAAATTTTAGGGAGCTTTCGAAAGGCCTTTTTACTAGTCTTTTTCACAGCAGTTTCTGTGTTGATCTTAACCAAGTCCATCAGACGAGGTCGAAATTTTCCCCTCTACAATCAGTAAAATATATCTTGTTGCATTAATTTGTCAATTCTTTCTTTTCTCAGTAGCAGGGAATGGTTAAAATAACTTTGCCTAGTTACATCAGCACTATATTGTGTAGTATCAAACACTTGTTAATTACCCCCACCACCACCAAAGATAAATGTAGGATTTTGACTAACACATTGCTATACAAATACAAGATGTAGAGGAGAAATTTCATCATATTACTTAAAGTTTTTGAGCTGTATTCACCTATAAAATATTTTAGTAAATCCACAATAGCTCAAAATACTTACAAATAATCTCTAACAATCTATGTTCATTCTAATCTCTATACTAATACTAAGCTGTCTGCACAATTTTCACTTGGCTTGATTCTATTGTATTTTTCTTTATGAGTAAACAAAAAATATGGAAAGGAGAATACACAGTAACAAACCAAACATATTAGGCTATAAGGGCAGAATTTGTAACAATGAACTTTAATCACAAACATTGCTTATGGCACTCTCCCACTGACATTAGTGTCAGACTCTTTCTAAGAACATTGTAAATACTGGACTGCTAATCAGCTTTGTTCACCTTACAATAAAAAGGCTATAACCTGCTAGAAAATGATTAAACAAGTAACTCAAAGAACTTCACCCAGGAAGAACTGTAGATATAAAATGACACTTAAATTGCTCAAAATTATTCAATTTTTAACAGAAGAAGAATGCTAATGGTAAACTGGCTTACTATATATATCTGTGAAAGTTATTAGTTAATGTCACAACTCGTAGCATACTTAACTTAAAATACTTTTGGGATTATTTAAACATACGTATGCAAAATTCTGTTTAAGAATATATATTTCTGGTTTCATTTTCTTTCAACACTGAATAAAATGATTTTGTGCTGATAACAGTTAGATTGTCACTTACTGTTGAAAGGGGTAAGAGTTGTGCAGTAAGGAGAATTTGGTATTAAACCCAAATTGAAAACATGCACTTCTTCCATACTTTTTCTTCTAATTATGTTTTTAGCAATTAAAAACAGTACTTGAAAACCAACAAAAATATTTTTCCAAGATCACTTACAATTAACTTCCATTTTGTTATTTGTATCAACTCTTCAAGGATAATATGTGGGTCTTTTCTAGAGAGAATTATTTTTTGTAGTTGTTCCTGATACCTGAAAAAGAAATATATATATACAAATTTATCAATATATATAATGACAGATCAGTATTAAATTGGGCATACAATTTTATATTAACAAAGTTCCAATTGATAATGTCACTATACTCACAAGTACCTGGATCTCTTTTTGTCAGATGTATTATAATTTTTAGTAATAATCAATGTAATGATATATGCTAATGAATTATGTGATTTAAATATAGATATATTGCTAAACTTCACAATTAATCTACTTATCTTACAAAATCATAAGCCTAGTTGTACAAGCACCATATATTAGTATTATTCTAAGGTTATCAGTTATTAGGTATGTATGAAAAGAGATTATGCAAATCATAATTTAGCAACAACAAATGATACATTCTTCTGACCATATTAAATGCACTGAATGATACAAATATTCAAATCTTGTGTTTCTCCATGTTAACTGGTAAGGTGCCATATAAACTACTGTAGCTTCTGAAAAGCAGCTAACCAAGGAAACAGTTACATGACACCTACCAGTGAAAACAGTCAGAAGAAAATGTAGTGAAGAAAACAAACTGTAATTCATATGGATTTTATTTTGCCAGTTGATATCATGTGCTATTTAAGATATAATTTTCTATGTTATGTTAAAAGTATCAGACAGAAAAAATCCATGTTGTTTCAACTACTTGAATTTAATGGTGACTTTCAATAAAAACTAGCGATACAACTATAATTTCTACACAACTTTCTTTCACAGTGAGTTTACACACTATATTTGACTTTTTTTTTCACAGACTTCTGTCATGTTCAGTCTGAAATTGGAAATAAACACTTTGGTAGATTATAACTTATCCAGGAGATTGATAGGATAAAGGCTTTTGATTTCCTTGTGCTATATTCTGAAGATAACAGGACAAGAGGACACAAGTTTAAGATTCGAGAAAGATGAGCTATGTTCTTGTTAAGACAGTTATTTTTCTAAGACCATTGTTTATTTAGGAAATGCATTGCCATCAGCAACAGTGGATCAACACTTTGCAGAAGTTCAAAAGATGAATCAATGATTTCCTGAAAAATCAAGGGTGGATTTAAAGTTTTACTTTTCTTGGGGGTAGGTGCACAAGGCCAGTTTCAAAAGGACCAAATGGTCCTTTGTTGTCTGTATTTTATGTCATGTCACAAAGAACACAACTGCAACCATTATATAAAATATTTCAGCCTAACAAGTAATAATATCCAAAGATTCATTTTTATGACATCATAAAAACTTGTAGCTGAAGGCATAAAATTATATTAACATGTCAACAGAAATACAGAAAAGTAATTTAAAAGTTTTTAAATAAATTCTTCAATCAAATATGACTATCACATAAACAATGATAGTCTTTCAAAAAAATCAAAATTTGGCTAGATCTCTGAACACTCAAAGTAAACTATAAGATGATGAAACTGAATTAATAAAAAATATTTAATCTTCCTCTGCTTGTTATAGTCTTTAATCTATCTGATCCCCTCTGTGCGCCCATTATTTACTTTACAGAAAAAATAAGCTTTACTGAATTAGATTTTAACACATACTGCACAACACACTATACAGTGAAGTTCCTATAGGATTATATATATATATATATATATATATATATATATATAGTATACTACAACACTA